CGGTCCATTTATCACCACATAGGGTGTTCCAGCGTTGTACAAGACGCACGGTCCATTTATCACCACATAGGGTGTTCCAGCGTTGTACAAGACGCACGGTCCATTTATCACCACATAGGGTGTTCCAGCGTTGTACAAGACGCACGGTCCATTTATCACCACATAGGGTGTCCCAGCGTTATACAAGACGCATGGTCCATGCACAGCATGCACAGACTCTTTCCGTGGTTTTAGGGTAAGTCCCACTTTCTTGTAGGCACAAAGAGTAGGCAGAGGTTCTTTCTTTGAAAATAAAAGAACCTTTTTAATCTGTTAAAAGCGAGAGGGGAGGGGGCGAGAGAGAGGGTGAGAGAGAGAGAGAGTGAGAGAGGATGGGACAAGAAGAAGAGAGAGTTTGTCATTAGCAACTGAGAGAGAGAGAGAGAGACGCGGAGATTACCATTGGGGGTCTGGGGCGGTGCCACGTGAAAATGAATTATTGAGTTAATAAGTGATGACACATGTGGACAGAATAGATTGGGGTTAAAATAGATGGGGTCAGAACAGATGTTGTCAAAATAGATGGGGGTCAGAACAGATGGGGGTCAGAATAGATGGGGTGAAAATAGATGGGGGTCAGTATAGATGGGTATTGAACACCTATTGAAAGTAAAGCTAATGAAAGAACACTTATAGACGGAAAAGCTGAGTGAGATGACACATACCCAGCTGAGTGAGATGACACATACCCAGCTGAGTGAGATGACATATACCCAGCTGAGTGAGATGACATATACCCAACTGAGTGAGATGACACATACCCAACTGAGTGAGATGACACATACCCAACTGAGTGAGATGACACATGGCGCCTACCTTTGGGCATCGTCAGCGGTATCTGTGCTTGCAGTGTACACTTGATGACGTCAACGGGACAAGCCAGGGCCAGCTGGACGCCCCCCGCCACACAGCCTGCCAGGTAGACCTGTCGATGGAAGCAAAATTCTGGCTACTTAATGGGTTCTTTGGTCATTGGCGTGTTTAAATTAATTTGTAAGCATCTCCTTAATGGCCATCAAAACGCCTCACAGATGGTACCTGCCAGGTTTTAAGTTACAGCTCAGCCTGGCTAGCCTACCAACAAAAAATTGGGTCCTACGTAAGTCCAGCTGACCTGCAAATGTGTGTGGTCCATACAGCAAGTCCTGCTGACCTGCAAATATGTGTGGGTCCTACAGTAAGACCAGCTGCTAGTCTGTGGTCCTACAGTAAGACCAGCTGCTAGTCTGGGGGTCCTACAGTAAGACCAGCTGCTAGGGTGGGGGTCCTACGGTAAGACCAGCTGCCAGTGTGGGGGTCCTACAGTAAGTCCAGCTGACCTGCAAGTGTGTGGGTCCTACATTAGGTCCAGGTGACCTGCAAGTGTGTCGGCCCTACAATAAGGCCAGCTTACCTGCAAGTTTGTGGGCCGCACAGCGTGGTCTGCTTACCTGCAAGTTTGTGGGCCGCACAGCGTGGTCTGCTTACCTGCAAGTTTGTGGGCCGCACAGCGTGGTCTGCTTACCTGCAAGTTTGTGGGCCGCACGGTGTGGTCTA